ACACACACACACACACACACACACACACACACACACACACACACACAGATTAGTGGTAACAGCCAAGCAAGCAAACCCCAAAACAAATATTTTTGTTCCCACCATGATAGTGAGGATGTGCTGTGTTCTGGCCTCGTAGTCCAGCCGGTCCGCGGTGTAGACCACCCCGGTGCCAGGGTTGACCCTGAACAGCCTCATACTGACTGGGTCTGCACTGCCATAGATGGAGAAGCTCAAACGGGCACGCTCGTCCATGTCCGAGGCTCTGACCCGCAGCAGCTCCATGTCCACTGGTGCGTCCTCTGAGACACTGACATCATAGGCTGGCTGGGAGAAGACCGGAGGGTTGTCGTTGCTGTCCAGTATTCGGATAAACACCTGAATGACAAAGAGACAGAGGGAGAAAAGTAATTCAGATAAGTAATGTTGAAATAATCTATATTATATGATCATGTGTTGTAAGTCATGCTCGTGAGTTTCACCCTTTAGTTTATCTAAAGAGACTTTGTACCATAAATGTATGTATGGTATTCTGGCTCTTATACTGTTGTACAACGATATAATAATACCTTCAATCAGCAGTGTGTCTGTGTTTCTATTTCGTTATATTTGGTTATGTCTTGAGTGTCTAAGGATTCGGATCCACGACAGCAATGAGAGTGCACAGTATATATTTTTTATAGATAAGAGCCATGTTGATAATACTGATAATATTTGATACAGTCGAGGTGTCGGGTTATCACATTAATTTTTCATTTGCAAGTTGGAAATACCAGCACTATTCACACTAAATCTCCTTAGTCAAAGCCTTAGGTATCTTTTACAAATTGGACAGGGTGTTTTCAATAAAGAATGTAACTTTGGCACATGACCTTTATTTGCACAGTCTAATCCCATTAATCCACTGATATCAAGGATTTCCCTTATGAGGCAGAACGAGTAGTCCAGCCAAGACAGCAGGAGGAAATGTCAAAGACAAAACCACATTTCATAGTCAGTGAGAGATCGTTTCAGGGGAAGGGAGTGCAAGCATAGGAGGGAGAGAGGCTGAGAGTATACAGCTCCCAGAGGAAGAGGTAACAATAATTTAATTTGATGTGGGTCTGGAGTGTTGAGTGTGCGTAACAAATCATCAAGTGTGCTCACCTGAGCTGTGGCAAAGTTGGTCCCATCTGTCACTTGAATAGTCATGTTGTACACAGACTGCACCTCTGCATCCAGGGGCTTGGCCACAACTAGAGTTCCCACCCCCACCTGAAGGTCAAACTGCATGTCAAAGCTCCCTGGAATCACACACAAACACATACACATATAGCACACACAGAGTTTCAGTCATTTAGTATTCAGGGAGTGTGCTAAACTCAGATGCTCTAAGTTATTACTGTGTAATTGTTTTGGCCAGGTTCCTGCGTCTGGAGCTGGAGGGTCTGTGAAATAAAATGAACTGAAAAGCAATGCAATGTAGTAACGAACCCACTTGGCAGCCAGAGAGCTGTTAACAGCCACACAAACATCTGTCTTATCACTCCGAAACACAACCCATCTCAGGGATCAAAAACCTGCAGCCGGGTCTTTCCACGGGCGGCGAGTACAGTTTAGCGGCTTAATGTTTGATTAGGACGAGGGAGAGGATTGATATGTGTTCGGTATTCAGTGCCATCCTTCGTCTCATTCCGGCTTCTCTCCAGAGATATCTGAGAGCTGAGCTCTCTTCAGCATATGAATACTGATTGGCCATTTTTCACAGGAGCACTGAAGCATGTTGAGTCGGAACAAACCGCTGGGATTCGCTTTTTAATTCAGGTTAGGTTGGTCAATATTACACTGTGATCACCAAGCATTAAAAAAAACGAAGTCACAGTCTGTGGTCTCTAAATAAAAAGAAGTGTGCTGTTTCCCTTCTGTATGTTAGAGTTGCCTCTAGGGGGTCTTCAGACTTAGTTTGACTATTTTTGGTAGCATCTTTTACAAACATACACTGATCTAAACACCTAAACTGTTAATACTGTTTTACAGTCTAGAAAAAACAAAGTGTAGTAGCAGCAAATGTTTTTAATTTTGACAAACTGTTTCAACGACTGACCTACTTTTAGTCTTGAACAGCTTGATTTGCTAACAGTGAAATAAACAACATTTATCTTGAGTGGGTCCCTGTTTTGTTCTTATTACATAATCTGCCAGCCTTCAAGAGTATATAGATAGATTATGTCTATGACACAGTTTAATCTCACCACACAACACAATACACACGTACTGAAAATTAAATTTGGTAAAGGTGAGAGAACTTATGCAATAACATTGTTGACACAGAGTACCATACAGTTTCCCTCTTTTGTAACAGCCTGCTGGGGTTGTCTGTAACTGCACACAAAATCCTCAGGATGACTTATATTGTAACTTAAGTGGTAAAGGTCATTATTTCAAATGTATTTCCATTTAGAAAAAGGCTCTCGGATGTAAGAATGCTACAGTAAGAGGCTGAATGTGTCACACAGAGTGGAAAAGCACAGTGGCTAAACTAATGATTTGAACCTATGCTGCCTGGACCAGAATAACAAACTACTACTACGTGTGGAGTGCTTTTTCAAACACAGATCAATCAATACTGCCTTTGGCTAAACACAGCCCTGGCACTGTTTGCTGCATTTCCTGAATTTTCTACTTTTCTCCAGACCTGGGGCAATTCAGGAAATCAAAATATGCTTTGACCAGACCTGTTTCAAGTGAGCAGTTTCTTCCACATGCATTTTGAGGAATGTAGAAAGTTTCTCTGGCAAGACGTCCGCCTTAACAAGAGAGAAAGAGAAAGAAAGAAGAGGTTAGTTGAATTTAGGAAATCAAGGATGTCGTTGTGATCAAAGGTTTGCCTCATCAACAGCACTCTGAAAAGTCAACCTCTTGAAGTTTTTCACATTTCTGTGCGTCATTAAATACTGCAAGAGGACTAAAAAACGTGTGCGCAGTGGCAGGAATGTGATTAATTCAGGGATGATATTCAAGGTCAAAGAAAAAATAATATAACTATGCGTTAACTTTTTGAAAAAGAAAAAAGTGAAATATTAATGAGCTGCACAATTACAGTAATAGTGGAAAAGTAATGAAATATATTCATGTTCATCATGTTCTTCTCATTTTCTGTTTCTTTTACGCGTGCATAAAGACGAATAATCAACTCATCAAGTTGTTTTTAATTAATTTCCAAATGAACATTCAAGCAGGCGCTCTGAATTATTTAATCAGGGTAGCAATCAATAATCAGCTTTTTACAATTCTGAATCAAGGGGCAAGCTTCCCATTTTTCAACAGGCAGACGGATAAGAAACCAGTTATTTAAAAAAAATCCTTGTTTCCAACAGAGCAAAATAAACAACAGGAACCTTTATTGTATTGTAAAAGTGGCAAAATGTTTTATTTAGACAATTCACTTTTACCTGTGTACAATTAATCACAACAAAAGAACCTTGAGATTTTAACAAGGCAATGTGCATACTGAGAAACTGTCTGCAGTACGTTCACTGCATTAAGGGGTAATATAAATCAGCAGAAATATGTCCAAAGCTGTTATGGAAATCTGTGGGAAAGCCTGCAGAGTCAACAATTGTAACACTTGCAAACTATTACACTGCACGGTGTGAAATGCATCACTTCCATTGTGTTGGTTTGGCTCACCCAGGATAGGTCTGACCCAAAAAACATCTCTCAAAACTATTATTATTATATATATATAATATATTATTATAAAACTCCAGCATACAGATGGAAATACTAATACAATTCTGACCGTCGCTTTACAGTTATGATGGATAGTTGAATAAATCCAAAATTCCCTTAAATACATCAATTATACAACATTTTAATATGAAACATGACAAGGCTCATTTAGTTCAATTTGATACTGTGGGCCCGGGTGCATTTGAATGAATCGGTCACCTGAAATATTATGAATACCCATTATTCTTTGTTGGTTTATTGTCACACATTAATTTTCTTACCGATAATATTGAACCAGACAGGTGTGCTCGACTGGCTGACAGCCACTACTCCCACCGGCTGAGCCACGACAGCTGTCTCCGAAATAGAGAAATTGTAGGACCTCTGGGTAAACAGTAGATTTACAGGCGAGGGGACGGGTTTTCGAATCCATTCTACGTGGAGTTTGACAGTAGACCATAATGGGGGATCACCGCTGTCCTCAGCTTTTATCTGAAAGACGGAACAATAAGGAGAAACCAAATATTCAGCTGACACATGCGGGAGCCAATGAATCAGGCATTTGGGGAACATTTAACAATGATAAACCAGACAGGCAAACAAGCGAATGGAGTGTTTAACATTATGTTGGTATGCATGTATTCAGGGCAAGAAAGCATTGAGAAGATATTAGTATTCTGGCCACATTAATGTCAAAACTATGCCAATGAGCTCTGTACTCATCTACATTCACTAACACCTGCACCTAAGCGACAACCTCCTATCAATAAATCATATTTTACTAACCTCAAAATTGATTCCAGCAATTACAGTTTAATGGGATGGCTGTCCCTGCCTGACTTTAACTACCTCGCTCTACTTTTCACACATTACACAGGAAAACATCTTACTCTTTGGAGGATCCTAGAGCATCTGAGAGGTAATTGTAAAACGTAGCGCTAAGTGGTGCTCATTTAAGAGCAGAACCTGTGAGCCACATGCATTATTCAAAAACAAAGAAACACAGTCGAAAGAGAGAACATTGGCGTGTTCATAGTCGATCTCACTTTCATGTCACACATGAGTTATTTTCCACTGAAAGTGAGCACAACCCCAAATGGCTCATGGGCGTGAGCGACTAATCAGTGAACGAAACGAATAAGAGAAATCAAGCCTTCGTAGCGCATACGTAAAAGGGACTGGAGCAGGGTGAATACATTGTCAGCATGAATAATTTGTTATACAAATACAACCACAAAAATTGCAATATGTGCTCGTGTTTAAGGAGTGCCATATACTGCCAGAGAATCATAAATGCTTTGTGCCACCTGATGTGCATAAACACAAATGCAGCTGTGCCACTCCAACCACCTGGCGTTTTGAGCACATTTGGCCATGGAAACGCCAAAAACTAACAAGCTCTCATACCTGGGCTTCTGCCTGATGAAAAATGAACTACGTGACTGTGTTTGTTACTGCCAAATTTGCAAATATATGGAAGCAGATCCACTAACCTAATGGAACCCAAGTGGCTATGAATCTATTTTGAAGAAAGGAAATTGGGACAGCACTTCGCAAGTGGAAAGAGAGGAGCACTGTTCCCGAGAGAGGTCACAGTCTTATCCATAGTAACACAATATGATTGAATATAGATTTATCCTTTTGTTTGCCATGTTGATAATGAGTCGAGACCAAATAGCACTTCAGTAAAAATGTATTTATAAAACACACTTAGAAAATGACACTCACGGTGAGGATGTCATAGCTTCCCGCTGTCACCATCTTCTTGGATGACACCATGGCAGTCCTGGGGTCAATACTGAACTTGTCTTCCTCATTACCATCGACAATGCTGTAGGTGATGTTGCCATTGGCTCCTAGGTCACGGTCATAAGCGAAGACACGGTACACCGGTTCGCCACGTTTGTTGCGGTCTCGTTCGGTCAAGCTGATGCGATAGGTGACTTCGGGGAAAGTGGGCGGGTTGTCGTTCTCGTCCTCGACGTGAACTATGACCCAAACAGTGGACTGCCGGGTGGTCACTGGGCCGTCTATCACTGTTACCTGAGGAAGTGTATGAGAAGACATAATGAGTTAGTCATTAATGTCTTTTGAACATGGTTTGTCGTGTGCTCTTCTTGCATGAATGTATTTACATCTTAAATCTCAAACTGTGTGGCTGAGCTGATGGGAAATCTCTTTGTGTTATTGATCTCCTGGAGGCGGAGGCAAAGGTCTGATCATTGATCAATTGGATCAGATAAGGGTGAACACCGCCGCTGCCAGCCCGACTGCTCACTAGACTATTAATTACCGGCCGGCAGCAGAGACTGGCAGGCGGAGCAGTGGGTGGCACGCATGGAGCGGCATTTTCTATCAAAATCTCAGGACAGGACGGGACAGGAGGATGTAACAACAAAGACTTCTCTGCCCCCAATTTCAAACTCCCTTTAGGTGTCAATGTTTAGGTATATGATGCTGTAAGGTGGAAGCGTCCTTGCCCAACTTTTATTATTTTGTAGTGTGGTGCCATACGCTGGGTTCTTATTGCATACTGCAGCTGAACAAAGCAGAACAAAGAGTTATTGTGTGTAGACAAGTCAATTGGCAATACGGAAAGAAAACACCATAATACTGCGGGTGAACTGGGGGTTATTTCATTCCATTTTGCAGAAGGGCAAAGTGCTCGCAGATTCAACAGCATTTAATAATGTGTAAGAGAAGTCTGGGGAAGTAGAAGTTTGCTCAGGTCTCTGAAGTGGAGAATCTCTGATTATCATGTTCATCTGCATGCAGAGCAGCAGGAGCATGGTAATCACAGTTATCTGTGTGCCCAGTGTCTGCGCTTATCAAACGCTGGGCAGACAAACTCCTCTCCTCCCTTTTCCCGTCCTGAGTAGAGAAGATAACCGATGATGAATGATTATATTTAGAAATTCCTAAACATGGGGCCCAAAACTACAGCCATTCATCAGAGTTTATGGAGTGTTGAGGGCCTGCCAGGTTTGTCCTCCACACCGTCTCTGTTAATGGTGGCTAGTGGCAGGTGGCACGGCCAGATAAATAATAATACTAAAGACCAATAAACACTTGTTATTCTGTACCTCTAAGAAGTGCTCCGCCTGTTGTTCTCTGTCCAGTTTTCTCGCGGTTGTCTTGATCAGCCCTAGGAATCGTGAAAGAACAACTTCAGATTACACAGACGCAGATGGTGGATAGACACGCTAGATTACAGACCTCGTCTCTTCATAATTTATTGTTTATACAAGTTTCATTAAAGATGCACCAGGAAATATCAGAGAGGCCAACTCAGTGGATATTTTTAAACACCAGCCAAAAACACATATTTTTAGATTAGCCTTTTAATAGCAACACCCCACTTTAAATGTTCTTTTAGTCTTTATTACATTGTTTTATTTATTTTATAGGTCTTAAAGGATGTTATCTTATTTTATTAATCTAACATGTTTCAATAGCAATATTTATTTTTACGTTGTTTTTTGACATTTTAATCGTTTAAACTTTATTAGAATTATGGCATTTTTATTACTAGTATCTTTTTATGTGTATTTCTGTTGTTCCTATATGTTCCCTTTCTTTTATGGGGTTTTATATTGTTGCATCGATTCAGTTGTCTTGTGTCTTATCCGTATTATTTATTTGTGTTATCATACCTTTTACCTCCTTGTGTTTATTAACCTGTTAAAATGTTATATTTGTTTGCATGTACCTGTAAAGTTCTTAACAAATAATCTGAGGGGAATTTCTTGTGGTTTATTTTGAACTTGTAATGTGTCATTTTGTAAAGCACTTTGAGCTGCATTTGTTGTATGAAAAGTGCTGTATAAATAAAGCTTTTTTATTATTAATATATTTTTAAAAGCCAAACTCAATACTAATCAGGAAGTCTTCCACTTAAAAATGAGCATATGCGTGCACTAACACGCACCCGTACAGACTAACCCTGCAGTCCTGGCAGAGATGACGGCACTTTGGCACATGTTCATATGGAACTGTATAGCTGAGGGTCATTCGGTTGGCCAGCACGCCACCATGACAGAGCAAAAGGAGTGAGGCTATTGATAGTAATTGTGATCGAACCAGATTATTCCGATGACAACTGCACAAACCGTAGCAAGCTGCAGTTTTGATCACACACATTTTCCTTTGATGGTTTATGTTCTCTTTTTTATTTAAAGGTCCTCTATCATACTGTTTTTCATCAATATATTATAGTTCTCAGATAGATACAAAACATGTCTCTGAAGTGTTTGGCTCCAAACACCAAACAGATCATTGCAGCATTACCCATAATCCCCTCTGTTTCACCCCTGTTTCTAAAGTGCTGATTCTCTGTCTGTTACTTTAGACGAAAATAAAGAGCCCCTCCCCACGCCCCTCTGAGAGATATTTGGTTAAAAAGAACACAATGCTGCTCTAGGAGGAGATTCAGGTGATAAGGGGGGGTGGGGGTTACCTTGGTTGGTGATTGGCTAATGGTTACACAAGCCAAAAAATCGTTATGACATCATAAAGTGGCCGAAATCTGATCAGCTCATTTTCAGACAGGTTTTTATAGAAATGGATCAGGACAAGAAGAGAGAGAATCTTTTTTCCTGAAACTTTCAGAGTCTCTTTCCACAGAGGAGACACATGTTGATGTAGAAGAGACATGAAAAAGTGGATATTGCACAATAGGTGACCTTTAAGGGTTTTAATTTGTTGTTATTTATTCTCCACACACACAGAAATAGTTTGTGGTAATTAATATCGGCTTTGTTAATTGAGTAAAAACTTTGCTAGTAAAAATCAAAAGCTCCCCTGACATTATCCTCGCCAGAAGGCAAACAAGGATTACATATGCAGGCAATAATCCATAAGCAAATTCAGCCCTAATGAATGATAGTTTTACAATATTGTAAGCAGGCTTTGTATTACAGAATAAATTGATTGTGTTCATAACGATCCTTGTATAATATGTAACATCTCTCAAAAGCATCCAAACACTGGAAAACGTGGATCTCGTGTTCTAACACACAAATGCAGAAAGAAATGTATTGATTTGATACAAGTTAAAATACTATTATTTTCTACATACATGGGCACATTAAGATGCAGAAATACACACAAAAGCACATACACGTATAAAGAGGTACAGTATAAGGAACTATTTATGTGTAGATTCGTTGACTTTGTTACTGTGCTTGAATGGCAATGATGCATTTGTTTTAGTATTAGTTTATTTTTGTATAAGCCGTTGCTTGGAAGTAGGATTATTTTGGACGCATACAATATCTATGCAGTTAATGGATAGACTAATACCACGGTGCAAACTCACACACTTTCACATTTTCGTGCTTGTGCATATCACAGTGTCACCTTGAGCTTGCTATGCAGGCTAACTTCAATTAAGCAAATTAGGAGTAAATCTAGAGCAGCGGTCACAAGCTGAAAGGGGGTGGAGGGGAAGGGGGGAGGGGGGGCTTATTCAGCAGAACATAGAGCGAGTTACTCTGATAAAAATCGATGATCTACAGAGTGCAGCACATCTGCAACAGTACATCCCCCGGTTTGATTGAAGACAGGTAAATATTCTCAAAAGAATCCTCACCCACGCCATCACAAAATGTATGTCATGGTCCAATACATTCCCCCTTCCTTTAAAATGCTGTCAGTAGCAAATAAGGATGTGCTCACAATAACTACTGTCTGTTATGTCATTGTATAACCTTTTTTTTTAGGCCATGTAAGGGGAATAGCTGTCATATGACTTCTAACTGGAACAACAATAAAAAACACAAACTTCTACGCTTGTTCATTGTATATCTTGAATATTGACTGAAACATGTACAATTGATTTATTAATATCATTGGACAACAAAGCCAGTGCAATCGAACAGTGGGTTGCAGGAAAAGGTCACACAGCCACCATCATTCCATGACGGCCCCTCTGCAAAAGTGCCATTTTTAGAAACCAGTACTCCTTCTTCTAACACCCTTTGTCAACACTTGTCTCTTCTGTCTTCGCCCCCAACGGAGGAAGGCTCTACTCTCACACCCAGAGACAAACAGACAGCCCTGCAAGCTGTGACAGCACATGTGCACACTTTGCACACTTTGCACTCGTTCAAAGTTCGGCTTCAATACATTTTGGGAATTGAAGCAATACCTCAAACCCATCAAGCTGACATTTCCAGAGTGAAAATGTATTACTTTAAACCCCCTCAGAAACCCACTCCTGAAAACAACAATTTTGAATTTTGACGGGGTTTTGCAGCAGCTCAGGTCCTCGTTTGGCTGGCTGCCAATTTGTGAAATGAAATCAATCGACTGGGTAATGGTTTTTCATCTATCCAATGAAGCCACACTGGTACATGGAAAGTTCATGACTGGACAAACAGTGAGGCGTGATATTTATTGAATGCAACTCTCCTTTGTGCAAACTAATAGACTGGAACTGTCATTTTTTTTTTTTACATTATAGTAATAGTAATGTAATGGATATGCCTTTCTAAAACTGCAGAATATCGTAGATCCACATTTTTAAAAGAATACACAAATTGAATTCACATTACTTAATGGGCTTCAATAAGCTAATGGAAGTACACCAGAAGGAGAAAAGACCGCATGAAAAATGAAAAACCTATTGCTCAGTTTTTGCAATGAAAGTCCATTTATCACAGTGTGAACAAGATAGGCATCCATTTGATCTCCATGAATGAAATTAATGAGTAAAAGATAACAGAATACTGTGGGTCTCTGACAGAGAAAGACAGCAGGACTCAGATGGCTAAAAACTCTCCCCTGTGGCGCGTATACACACACACACACACACACACAAATCATTTGTATACAGCTGTTGGATGTGTGTTCACACAGAGACGGGAACACATGAGAATGAACACTCTCATGTGAGTTTCACACATCATGAGGTGGCTTTATCACCATTGAAACCTTGCAATAGAGCTGCCCTCTGTAACCTACTGTAACCAATTAATCAAATGGATTCATTTGCCACACTATCTCTCCTAATCTCTATCTCACACATGTTCATGCTGGATGTATGAACAGTACTAGGAATCTGCTGAAAAAACAATGACAAACTTACTAATGACACATGTGATGGATGCGCCAGAACAGGGACAGAAACTAATCATTCCAGCTGAGGAATAACCCACATAAATCATATTTGAATCTCAAGGATTTCAAAGAGTCATGAGTAAGGGAGCCTGCCTGTTTGATGGCTACAGTTTGCATATTGATGAGCGTGTGATGACCAGTGTTTCTCTTTTGGGATCAATATTAGCCTTTTCACCCTTGTTCAGTCCAGTGCACTTCCCTATGTAATATCAATATTGTATATGTATGATGTTGTAATGTAAAAGGCTTATTCACAGAGGGAAAGAGGAAGAGAAACGGACATACTGTAACAACTCTGGTTTGAGTTAACATGCAACCATTAGGGAATGCTTTCTCCCATAATGCTTCATAACTGCCACATACAGGCCATTGCCTTTTGCGTATTGCATTGACATTTCTTTGAATCAGGATACAGGTCCCCGTGACATTCTGAAAGTTGCCCTTTGTTGTTTACAAAACACTCACAACCTAAACTAGGGCAGGGATAGCAAAGACTTCAACATTTTTGCTTTTTCCTCAAGATTTGAATAAAACATTCCGCCTCTTTAATAATTCTTTAAGCTTCAAGCAAAGCGTGTACAGAGAATGCACGGGGACCTCTGCAGACATCAAACTTGGCAGCCAAAAGTGAAGCATGTCGGAAATGTGTTTGTTTTATTAATGTGTGTATTCTGTTCAGATATAATGTTAATAAATCAGAATTACTAGAAAAATTAAAATAGCAGAATTGAAAATAGTTTATAGTGCACAGAGACTGTGAAAAGTGTGGGATCAATACAGGCCCAGTAGAGTTTTCCATCAAAGAGAGAGGTAAAGTCTGAGAGACTGGGAGTTTTGAAATGTTGTTCAAGCATAATGTTGGGAAATGAGATCCAGTTCACAGGCTGCAGTTGTGAATGTTGTTTATTGTAAGCCTGTTCAAATGCATCGGGAATCCGAGTTTGTGAAATGTCTAAAATAAGATTTTTCTGAGCACATAAAATTCCCAGATGTGTATAAACAATTTGTGTTTCTAGAAGCAATTTGAGAATATATAAATAAAGTATGTGCACAAATTATCTCGTAAGGTAAGTCATGCTAACAGTCTGTTCACTTTTGGGAATACACAGGTACTGATTAACAGCAGGAAACAGTGTGTAAAATGAAAACTCAAAGATTCAGTGTTTCATTTAAAAGGTAACTCCATCAATGTTTCCTTATCATGTCCTTACAAGCCTTTGAGAGTACTAATGTTTAAATGGAAAACGTTTTAAGCTATCTGTCATGAGCCGACAATGTTATAGCTCAGTTGGTGGAGTACTTAAAAATACACTCACAATTTTTTATCCCACCTTCATAGCTCAATCTAACTAGACTGAAATAGAACCGCCTACTCACTATTACATAAATCAGGAGGCAGGTTTTACCACCCAATTGAGCCACATTCACAGAAACCGGCGGGTGCACATTAAAGGTAAATTGGTCTGGACAGGAACAGGGAACAAAAAGTATCTTTCTGCACAAACCGCAATCACAGACTTTCATTTCTCATGCAGTATTTTCCCACAGGCTCGAGAAAGTAATATACAATCACAGGCTGTCTGAGCATCATTTTCACAAGCTCAGACTTAAACCCCATGGTGATCCCATGGTACAGGGCTTATTGTGAACCCATATGGTGGTTTGCAGTACTTTTTTTTATTAAAAATCGAATTCCAAATCCAAGATAATACTCCTGAAACCTTTTTGACAATTTTCAGATTTCTTTAACTCTCTGAGAAAACCCATGTTTTCATTCATCCGACTATATATCACATAATGCAGAAATACACTAGTTGTGTGTCCTTCAGAGAACAAAAGTAATGGAAAAGAAAATTGCTTTCACTAATTTAAACTCCTTCTTATCTAGAAGATATTCACCCACACACTGGCTTAATAAAAAACTAACAACATGAATTTCCTCAAGTGCATTGCAGAGAGCTTCCACCCCTTAAGATGACTGAAAGCAATATTCAGTTAAGAGCGTGGGGAAGATTGTGTGGAGGGGCAGCTCATCAGTGTCTTAGATGTTTGATTGTGTGGGCACAAAAGTCTTTTTAATTTGTTGTGTGGGATTCAAGGCCTTTTATTGAATGAACTTGGAGTAGGAGGGACATGATGAAAGAACATTATACTAATTTGATAGGCATGCAAACAGGTAAACACAAAATACTTGGATCATTCATGTGTTACTTGTAAGGATATATCACTTACTAGTTCGATAGTCTAGCATATTAAACCGTCAATTATGATACCAAAATGGTTGCATTATAGGTCTTACCTGTTCTGGGGTTGATAGAGAAGAAATTCTGCGGGTTGCCGGCGGTGATGCGGTAACTTAAACGACTGGGAATGGCAGTGAGGTCAGGGTCCTGCGCCTGGATACGGATGATTGACACATCCTTTGGAGAGTTCTCCATGACGACTGGGTGGAAGATAGGATCTGAGGTGAGGGGAGCATTATCATTCACATCTTCTACCTGAGAGAGAAAAGGGGGAGAGGAAAATGAAGAGAAAGAGAGAGTGATACGTTGAGAGAGGGAGAGAAGGCGGAGGAGAATGACAAGAATAAGCAGTGTTGTTTGTTTATATTTGAACCGTCTACTTTATCTGAGTTAAATCTTAATTGGCCTTAGATGTGTTGATAAAACATAACCCCTCTAAATCAGAATGGTAATATTGCGTTTGGAATCTTTTTTTAATCAACAACTCATGAAATGCATCTTGCCCTTGGTGTGGGTTGATCTGTTATCAATCACAAAATGGAATGTTTTTTACCAGAAAACGTCATGGATGACGCACTTTAAATGCACGGCAAATTCATTTCCCTTCTTACAGCATAGATCTAGAATATTTATGGCCAACACAGCGTTGATGGAGTGTTTGCTGCAAGGCACAGAGAGCCAAGACGTTCAGCCGGTGAATGAGGAGCACCTGTGCCTGATTAATCTCCCTATTTTGGTCGTGACGAAGCGGCCGGGAGTAAAGTGCCCGCTCACACCGCCACACCTGAATATCCTGAAGCCAAACAAGGCGGTTTGTTTTTTTTATCCACTGCTGAACTCTGCCCCAAAGGGGGAGGGGGGGGGGGAGTGTTGGAGCAGTGATGTGTGTTTTTCAGTGTTTAGACTGTGGATTACTTGGTGCAAAATGAAATAGAGGCAGAAGCAGAGACTTCCCTCTGGTGGGTATCTGTAGCTCACAGGCTATAGTTATCCACTGCACTGAGCCCCATTAGCATTTCACTCTGTAGCACAACAATGTTCAGACGCATAAGGTTACCTTGGAGACCACCACTGCAGTAAAATTGCAATTCGAGTTTAAGATTTGTCCTGATATGGTAGAAATAAATGTGACATTAAGCATACTCCAACACAAGCTATTTCTGATATAAAACATCAAACAATAACCGCCTGTAGATTTTAGAATATTCTGCTTCATGAAAAATGTCTTTAGGAGTGACAAAAAAACCAGTCTAAATTATAAATAAGCAGGATGTTTTTTATATGTCGTACTGTGCCTGTCACAGACCCACATGGGTGGGGACGTTCGAAATGAGGCGCTACATCTGTAAGCAATTAAGGTTCAACTAATGAGTTTTTATTCAAAACAGCAACATACATAACTACTTATTAAGGAACTGCATGATTATGAATGTGGATACAGCCAGCAGAATATGGGTACCTGTATGAAGACTTCAATAGAGGAAGACTGGGGCGTAACTGCTCGGTCTGTGGCAAAGACGCTAAGCCAGTAGGAGTCTTTGGTCTCACAGTCCAGGATTCCAGCAGTGTAAATAACCCCTTTTGAAGCAGAACAAAAAAAGATTTGTGCAGTTGTTACTGGGGTTTGAGAAAATATATCTATTAGGTGTGTGTATGTGAGTGAAGGGACAGTGTGGGTGTCTTCTGCAGAATGCACTGTCAAAATATCTCATGGGGAAAAGTCTTTCAGTACTAACTTTCTAGAGGCAAATACAGAAATTCAGAGAAAAAACATTGTGTCCCGGCTTCAGTGACATTCACGGGCATTAGAGGTGCCGCTGTAGTCACCTTCAATGTTTCAGCCTCTCTAAAGCTAATCACAGCTGACCAAACTGCTCCCAGCAGCAATTTGCTTGGTGCTAAACGTACCCTGAACGGCCCTATACACCAATAAAGACAAACGCAGACACTCAGACATTCATGCACAGTGACTGGCGTGTGTTTAGTGGCCCTAAGGAAGATGAGTAGCTGACAGCTCTGGTGACCTCTTGAGAGACAAAGAGAACTCTCACAATGGACGACACATGGGTTCCTATTTGACTTTTTTTTGCAGGACGTCAATGGAAAAAATGACACACATGCTCACACACTGGGTTTTAGCCTTCACTCAAGAGCACTGAAGCTCAACGGGGGTCATCACTGTCACACACAGTTTATTTGAAAACCTAAAGTTTGGATTAAAAAAGAAACACATATTCAATCATTTTTATTAACAGAAAATAACACAAGTCCACTGAGAACAAATAGGCTGAACTTGTCATAAGGACTAGCTGTTGATGTATTTCCGCTCCGTGCACACAAACTTTTAAAAGCCAGCATGAGTGTGTGACTTTAACTACCGTAACTTTAATAAAGTCAGTTAGAGCTAAGGCGTGCAGTAAGTGTTTTCTCAATGCTTGCAAAGTCATGCTTCAGTTCACAAGCAATTAACCCCAACAAGATGCTAGGCAGAGCTGAGACGGCACATGTGAGAGTAGATATTTGCTTTAGACTTACCTAAATCTCACCACGGCTATTTAATTTCTTATAATTAACGACTGAGTAATGATGTTAGTGAGTTTATGCTCTTGCATGCAAATACCTTCAATATGTAAGTATCACCATTTGAATACTTATGAGAAGTAGCTGTATTAACGGAAAGAGAAGTATTTATTGATGCTTGAATGGCCTAAATTCATATTTCTGAACATAAAATGAATGTGTCTTAATTTTCGCCGTAACCACTCTGCTGCCATGGCAACATGACTGCTTAAATGCATAATGTTTGGATGAGAGTAAAAGATGTTTGGGTATTTGTATTAACCTCTACATAAAAGCATGCACTTGTGTGACTGGAAGTGGGTTCTTAAGTCATTTGGTATATTTCTCAGCCCCATGCCATGAGTGTTACCTTATCACAGAAAGTGTGTATGTGTCAGGTTATGACTAAGTAGCTGCCCAGGAGCATGCACAATGCATAGTAAATGTGTTTGCTGAAACACATCCTTGCTCTGACGTCCTTGACCATGTCCTTTTCAAACCCCATCTCATCTCTGTCAGATAACTCGACAGAGAGAGGCGAGGAAAACAGAGCTGGCTGTTTCAAAAGCTCTTTGAACTTTAAGACCGACAGGCACTATTCACTGAATTCAATATAAATCTGACTTGACAGCATCCATTCTCACTATAAATAACACACTTCAAAGAGTGGAAAAAAAATGAAGGGTTCATGGCATAATTTCTAATCTTGAAGTTCACAGTACTGTTGGGTTTACATCCATCTGTCATGTCTATTCAATCCCCCATTTTTGGGAAACCGGTGTAGGGGTCCCACTATTGAATTTATGCCGCCATATCAAATAATCAATCCCAAGATTGATGAGGAAAATACTGTTTGTTTTTCTCTAACACTTTAAGCACAATCGAGTAGCTCTGCGTGTGGCAGGAAAGAAGACATTGAAAGTAAAGCTTGTTCTTTTTTTTATCAAATTCAGGATAAATTACTTTTCAAAAGTTTGTTTCCCTGGAACTCAAAGACAGCTTTATCCTGAGTGCCCAATGAGAAATAGCAGGGTTTGCTTCCACCCTCACTGACGACAAGAATACCAATTATTGTTCAAAGTACAGAAGTGCTTAGGATTTAAGCCAGAGAAGATCCTACTTCCCTTTTGATAGATAGCTTGTACTCTCTATCCATACTGGAGTGAGTCATCTTAGGCATCTAAATAGCAAACCCAGGAAATCAATAAACATTCAATTAAGTATATGACAGACAATGGTGATGTCATGAGCAACACAAGATGCATCAATCGAAGCCAATTTACAAACTAAAGGAGGAGGTAATGTGCAAGTTAAGGCAGTCTTAACAAAATAGATTCTTCACACAATATCTAATTCTCTCCGACCCTTTTACTCACTCTCACTGTCTGTCTCAATCTATCTGCACATACTTAGTTTTGGCACTAAGAGCCACAGATTGACAAGCAGTCAGAGCCGAGCCACTCAGCATGGCAGCTAAATGCATGGTGGGAGGACAGTGCGGTACTCCGCCCATGCCTGACAACACAAACATCTACGCTACACGATAAAATGTAACACTTGATGAGAGGAAACTTGGTATGGGCTTACTGTCTATTCTCAACTGATAGCAAAAAGGGTCATGGACTTTTTAAGTTGCTTATGGGGGAATAGCTGCAACTAGAAAACAAATTCCAGAATATACACTATTTATATATATATATATATATATATATATATATATATAAAAGCCAGGGAAGAAGAAAGCATTATTTTCTTTTGACAGTTGTTATGCACTTCCCTTTCCCCTGCATCCTCTTCTTGCTTCACTTCCACTCCCCTCTCCCTCCACTTTCTGCTCTAACAATCGTTCTGCTTTTGCCTGGAAAATCTGCACTCAATAAACTTTCTCACTGCTGTGATGCTCCCTACTGAGGTATTAATACCAGTACGAGTAAATAACAGCACCAAGTACCATTGAAGAAGACTGGCTGTCTTCTGCAACACTGTTTTGTCCATCACTACAGCATGTACACATACGTTAGTAATTATTTATACATTTAGTATATTAAAAGGGACACTTTTTCCATTTGGCAATCTGTTTCTCTCTCGCTTCCTCTCAATAAAGTCAATACTAATTACCCCAGTTAAAGTCAATACAGGCCTCCAGTGCGAGTCCTGTACAGTAGGGACCAGCGTGACAAGAGGACAAGAAAGAGGCAAAGGAGGAACGCTGTCGTAAAAATAACAACTCAAATCAAACGTAATGGCTATTTATATATATAGCCATATATTGTGTTGTCAAATCCTATTGGAAATCGATATTACAAGTTGTTACTAAACAATATTGCTGTAATTATACACATATTAGTGACAAATGTGGGTTAAGATACTAATTTACACTTATATTTCACTTGCTATGTTTGGGGACTACATAGCTGTTCACACTGAGTCACTAAATAACCTGCATAATTAAAATGCATTGGTTAATAAGAAAGTGATATCACCTGTTCTTACTGTACAGTATATCTATATTATCTTGGTATATTATTATATTGCTGCTACTTGATTGGCAGAATGTAGGATTTCATTTGACCTGCTGCGTACATCTGTGATACAATACAATACAACGATAGGACTTTGATTCCAAATTTGCATGCTTGTACAAATTACAGGACCTGTCAGTGGTAAGACGTTGCATCAGTTGTAATTATGAGGCACTACTCATTACGGGGTGCCCTGGAGAATGGGTGAATAAGGGACTGATTTTGGAGCTTGAATGTTTCAGCACCATGGAGAGAGAGAGATTGGGTTTAAAAGCTTTGGCAGCAGGGATAAAAGAGAGAGAGACAGCGAGCCTTGATAAGAAGCCTTGATGGGAAAGTGAGAGTTCTCTAACCTGCTTTTGTTCACATGGAAAAATCAAATGAGTCCTCTTCCTTGAATGGAAATATAGAAAATGGGAGAAAGTTGGCGTTTCATTCTGTACATGAACTAACATGAACTGTCCTAATTTCATACAGGGTATTTGATACACTTTATCCCTGGGTGAGTGAGTCTCTCTTTGGATCAACATGTTTTTCAGCTGCGGTCTGACAACGGGGGACAGTTGGAGACGAATGCCCACTTTTTTGTGTCAGGCCTCTGTAAATAAGTCACAGTGATTTCACTACTTGAAAAGGATAGTGGAACTGTGCAGGAAATCCTTGATCAATGTTATCCACACTGCATTGGATCAGCTGTACTGAGCGGCCTGAGGCTCTGCCAGTGTGGCTGCCATGCTGCCCTCATTACAGTAATGATCTCCCAGTACACAGTGAGGCCCGTTCAACACACTGACTGACTGTAACTCACACCGTTTTCCCGGTGTGTCAGGGAACTCACACAGCGTCAGAAAATAAAACCCTTTCTCTTTTCCTCCGTCCCCAAATCTTTTAAAAACGGGGGGTACAACGAGCGGATGCAGATTTGCTGCCGATATGATGTCAAATCGGCGGCGGACCCACAGAAGGTTGCTATCAGAAACAATGCCTGACGTGTTTTGGACTTAATCTCGTCTTTGTTTACATTAGCAAGCTAAAAAGCAGGTAATAAAAAAAGGAACTCACCTTGTCATAAACCCGCAAGAGAAAAAGCATTTGAGCTCCATACTGTTTAAGAAATAATCCTTGATGTGGTTTAGAACAGGATGGCGTTTTATCACAGCAGAATTTAACTTTATCTCCGGTAGAATTCTGATCAGGCATTAGCTCCGCCTCCTCTCTTTTTCTTTTACAAGCTAAGGACCCAAAATCCGCGTTTCTCTAACAGGGCTGCAAAAGAGGGGTATGAGCAGTATGAGGCATGGCTACAATGGGTGATCTGTTTGGTATTTTAAGCAAAAAACCTTCACAGACATGTTTTGTATAGGTATGGCCCTACAATATATTTTTCCAATATAGCATAATAGGTCCACTTTAACTTCACATGAGAAAGTCATGGCAGAAGCATAGTACGATTTCCTAAACAAACGCAAATCACTTGGGTGTTTAAATTCCATCCATGGGACTGTGGAGTAATGGAGAGCCACTTTACATAAATAAGCTTCCATATTGATCTTTTGTCGCACCTGTGTCTTCGTCAATGGTGAAAGTGCCCAGTCCGCTGCCTCCTCTGACAGAATACCTCAACACCCCATCTCGCCCCTTGTCGTCGTCCTTAGCGCTGACAGTCAGGACACTTGTGCCCGCTCGAGAGTTCTCCTTCACTGAGCCTCTCACAGCAAAGTCAGAGAAGTAGGGTGCATACAAATTCTCGTTGACGTCCACCACCTGAAAAAAGGTAAGGGTTCACTTTAATTTTGACTGGAAATCTGAAAAATGTACTGAGTTATCTGTAGTATCATACAGAATAAATATGCACAACAGAGCTTTAGACTGATATAAAATACTACTTTTAATTACATTACAACTAGCAGCTTTTCTGATTAATACATGTTTGCTTTGCAAGTGTACCTTAAATACTCATTTCAACAGAAGTTAATAACACTTCAATTAATTAAATGTAATCTATTTGACACGTGAAATTAATCAACGGACCTATTCATGTCAACTTCAAATTGATGATTTAGACTTTGCTTGTGACACACATTGTCTTGTACTTGTGTGTGTATGTTACGCACCTCCACCTCCACAAATGTCTGACTGATGAGGCTGGGTATCCCTCTGTCCTCAGCTTGTACTGTCAGGTTAAACAAATGTTGTTTCTCAAAGTCCAGCTCCTTCCTTATCCTCAATGCTCCGCTCCCAACATCAATCTGTAAAAAATGCATTACAATCCCATGCATCATTAACTATAAAAAAAAAGAAGAGGATCTGCATATGGAACTGTTTAGACAATACACATTTGTGACATCACCTACCTCAAAAGTGCCATTGAAGTCATTAATCAAGGAGTATCGGACATGTCCCCCGGGGCCCATGTCTGGGTCCTGAGCCTCCACCCAGGTAATCACGGTCCCTGGAGGCAGGTCCTCAAGCACTCGAGCATTATAGCTGCTGGGGATGAAAGCTGGAGCGCAATCATTGATATCCTCCACAATTATGGTAAGAGTAGTCACTGAAGACCTCCGAGTGCCTCTTTCAGCCTTGTCCCGCACTTCAATCTTTAAAGGGAACATTGGGATAGTCTCTCTGTCCAAGTGGCTTGAAACAAATACACTTCCCGTTTCGCTGTCAATACCAAACTGAGGGACACTGGTCAGCATTACGTATGACATTTGTCCATTTTGACCTATGTCTCTGTCAAAGGCAGTGATTGTAATGACTTCGACACCAATGGCTGAGTTTTCTGCAACAACAGCAGAGAAGCTCTCCTGATCAAACTGAGGGTCATTGTCATTTGTGTCCTCAATGATCACAGTTAGTAGTCTCCAATTGGACATCTGAGGAGAGCCCTGGTCGTAAATAGTAATATTAAGGAAGTAACGATCCAATCGCTCACGGTCAAGTGGCTCTAACACAGTTATCAACCCGCTCTCCATGTTGATATTAAAGCAGTTATCCTTGTTACCATCAGATATGGAAAAGAGAATACGGCCGTTAAAGCCCGTGTCCCCATCTCGTGCCCTCACCGTAAATACACTGGCACCAGAAGTCAGGTCCTCTTTCACCAGAATACTAGTAGGTAAGGCTTCAAACTGCGGAGCCTGTTTGTTGATAGAGAAGAGTGTATCTGTGTATCTCTCTTCTGGTTTTGGTCGAGCCATAGCGGACACTTTTGAAAGCATTCTTTCTGCCAACATCTGGGCAACCCTGGTCTCCTTGCAGTTGAACCCCCTGGGTGGCTGACGACCCCTCACCACAGACACATTCACAAATGTAGGGTCAGAAAACAACTCACCATCTGTAGCAACTATTTTTAGGTTAAATATCCCGCTTTTTGAATTAACTACCCCTAACAATCTTTTCAAAGACAAAGACCCTGATTCTGGATTTATGTCAAAATAGTCCAACTCGTTACCAGACAGTATTTTGTATGTTACCATTTCTAGCTCGTCCATGTCCACGGCTGACAAAGTGACAATAGTCTGACTGACAGGGAAATCACGGCTTATCATCCCTCTGCAAGAAACACTCTCAAAAAGAGGCTGGTTGTCATTTATATTTGTCAGACGAACTGTGACATTAACTTCAGTCTCCCTTCTGAAAGGTGAACCCCAGTCTGAGGCCCGCACTGCAAAAGTATAGATATCATCTGCTGACTCAAAGTCTAGGTCTCTTGTTATTCTCACTTCCCCTGTGACCTGGTCTATTGTAAAGGGAAGAGACTGTTCTCCGTTTATTGTGTGGGTTACATACCCATTCTCTCCTTTATCAGCATCCACAGCAGACACCACAAGAGCAACCGTGCCAACAGGTAAGCTCTCATTGATTGCTATGTCATAGACGGGCCTGTTGAACACTGGAGAGTTGTCATTAGCATCCTCTATGGTGATTTGGACCCTTGCTTGCTGCTGACTGATAACATCAACTACCTCCATCTCCATGAAATCCTGTGATATCCTAGTCAGCTGCCTTGTGGTCATAATAACTCCAGTCAAAGGGTTTATATCAAAGTACATTAGATCCAAGGGGTTGCTGAAGCTGTAATTGACACTCAGAGGAGCTGGAGAGATTTTCACCACCTCCACAATAGTGCCTGGGGGAGCTATTTCACTCAACTTGACTTCATAAACATCTTTCTCGAAATTCCCTAACACTGGGTCTGGCTTTGTAACCAACAACTGAACAACTTCAGTATTGGAAAACTTAGGAGGCATACCTCTGTCTTTTGCTTGGAAGGTTAATTTACAACCATAGGGGAATGTATCCCAGTCGAACAATTCTGATGTTTTAACCCTGTACTCATTACTGACAGGCGATCGATCAATGACAAATTGTTCAAGGTGGTCACCCTCAATAATGGACACCCATTCTATATCCCCAGATACGCCCTCGTCTTTGTCCTCCACAGTCAATATGGCATATACTGGGTCCTTGTCTGCCCATTCTGGAACGACAGCAATTACATTGAGAACAGGGGAAAAGTTATTGACCCGCTCCACTGTTAGGACCAGCCTAGCAGTGCTGCTGATACCATTGTTCCCATAGAGTTTCATCCCTCTGTCCACCACCTGCACTTCTAGGTTAAATCGCTCTTGTCTGTCCAACCTGGGACGACCAGTTAGGGTGAGAACACCACTAGTCGGATGAACAGCAAAGAGTTCAATCCTGTTCTTGAAGAAGTAGTAGAACTCCCCGTTGGAACCCACATCAGCATCTGTGGCTGTAACACGTCCGATGCTGGCACCCAGTGGGGCACTCTCAGAAACAACGAAGGAATAGGAGGTCGGGGAGAAGAGAGGTCGGAGATCATTGGTATCCAATACCTTGATATAAACTGTAGCTAAAGATTCAAGGCCTCCGTGAGCAGAAGCCTTAACTGTAAGTGTGTAATTGTCCTGTACTTCCCGATTTAATGTGCCGCCACTGCCTCCATTGGTGCGTACACGGAGGAAACAAAAATCTCCCATTACAAACTCCTCAGCCTGGAATATTCCCTCACTGTCTCCAGACGTAATGGAGTATTTTATGTCTAAAGACCTGGGTGGCCCAAGAATGATGCCCATGTTAGCCTCACTCCTGGTATACGTTCTCGTTGCTGAGTTCTCAAAAATGGAAGCATTATAGGCAGGCTGCGTGAATAGCAGCAGGCCTTGTCCTGACCTAGGTTCTGTCATGAACTGGGCATTGATTGAGGTTAAACAGAAGAGGAGGAGGATAAGAATAAAGCAAATAAAATGAAATAGAAGAGAGAAGCCGTGTTGAGGAAGCATATTTCCCCACCGATATGGCTTCATCACAATTCCATCACCCAGTCACCCTATATGTGGATAGAATCAAAAAGAAGAAAATACCTGTATTCAGTTGGTGAGCTGTTAAAGACATGCACTCTAAAAGCTTAACATTTAAAGAACTGTGAGATCAAAATTCCAAAGACATTTCAGGACTGCTTATCGCTACAAGATTAAGATAGCACGTCAATGATGCGCTTCAAATGTTTGCTTTCAAACACTGTATATTCCATCCAAAAGACTCCTTGACACATCTTTAAACAAACCAAATCAAAGCCAGGTGAACTCACACAGCCTCAGGGAATCACATCATGTCAACAAATAAAATACCAGGGATCAGGAACAGTCCCTGTTACTTTAATAGAGCGCCATATAAAGACACAAGGGCTTGTTATTTTTTAACAAGTGACTTCCAGGGTTGCATTAATTTCACAAAAGAGCACCATGGCCTGACAAACATCATCTTGCACAATAAAAAAAAACTACACTTTTTTAAAAGGAAATTATGATGTATTTGTATTACCTACGTACATATCTGGTTTAACCAGCAGCAACATGTGTGATGCTTACACATTAATGCACTCATGTTGATCCAATAATATTAAATATATTATTCTGAATTGGACCATTTTGCATTGTCCTTGTACTTTTGATAAGTAACACTTCTAATGCTACTGACTTAACTAAGATATCCAATAGGTCTTCTATTTTAAACAGAGCGTTGATACGTTTACCTAAATAACAAGTGATTCATCCACCAAAGGTTATCATCAGGTTAACTGTAAAGCACAGCCAACTTTAATTACAAGTTTAACTCATGGGTGACTGACTGCCAGAAAAGGACAGAAAATGACATTTATGGTGGACTTTTCAACGTTTTGTAATATATTTTACTTTAGATTCTGCTTCTAGATAGGCCCTCATGGTCTACTGTTTACTTAATGCTAAATGCATTCCCTCATCGCATGTTCTTGATAATTGTACAACTTCAACAGAAATTAAATTTAAAAAAAGAAAGCCTGATGATATGACATATGCCCATTTACAGATTCAAGGACATACATTTAAATCAGCAACAAAAGGGCTAGGCTGTCATAATCCAACGACTCAAATTAAAATTCCCGAGGCAGACTGTCCCGGGAGATATTGGGGTGCATTTATCGGCTCCCATGTTGATGCAGATGCGATGGAGCTTGCCTCCGTGCACAATCCACGACTTTACTAAACTACAGGCTGAAGCCACAATCTATATCTTTAATAACTACACATACTTCACTCACAAAACGCATCGTGTCCTACCTTTACACGAAACAGCGGTAATCAGTGAAAGTAAATCATTTCCCATCCTCTCTCCGACAGTCCTTCACAAAAAACAAAGGCAAAACGCACGAAACAGTCGCGCTGAAGTCAGAATACTCGAAACGGAACATTCATGAGCACATCCCGACAGGCAGTTGTCTACTAGGCTGCAGCCATCCTCGTAAAACTAAATAGGCTATTGCCCCAGTTTCATGCACCTGACTAATGTAACCCTGGGTGCAGCGGGCTACTCCGGCTTTATCTGCAATAGTTAACACAAAACACACGCTAAAACAGCCCGGTGTCATTTGCTGGTTGATGTTAAGTTCCGAGAATAAAGTAGTATAAAGAACATGTCGCTTTACGCAAGTTGTGAAGCAGTCAGCATCAGTTGTCGCTTCAGTGGGACTACAGAGCGCTCACTGGATAGAGGTGGCGGGTTGGGCAAGCTCCGATCTTTACCGAGTGGAGCCGAGAACTTCCGGAAGTGGAATGCAGTCCACAAACGGCTAGGGCACTGTTTCCCACACTCACGAGCCGTATAGTGGTTAGTTAAACATCTGGGCACCGGTAAAACTTCTTCCACCCGGCACCATGTCCGTTTTGTGTTATAATAAGGGATGTGGACAGCAGTTTGATCCAGAAAATAACCCAGAAGGTGAGTAGTATCTTAGTTAACGTACACTGCCCCGTGCCAGTGTGTTAGCAAGCTAACCTCTGATCATTCTGGAAATTTCTACAGCGATAAGGCCTGCTGGGCCCATGTAGCTAACCTGAGGTGACTGAAACAGACTGGACCAAACACAGTTACTAATTCATTCATTTGCATTGCTGTAACCGATATCTCAGGAAGCTAGTAGCATGTGGTCCTGCATATATGCTGTGGCTAATCAAGATGTTGTTAGCATGTTAAGCTCATGTGATTAGCAGGTTAAGTTAGAAATGAACGTTAGACTTCCAGAAAGCATTGTCCCAGACAGGATATACAGTACACCGGTGTTTGAACAACAAGCTGTCTATACATAGCATATTTCCATCGCTATCCCACAAAACACGTGTTATTGCCAAGACAGCGAAATGTTTTTTTTCTAAAACTTTATAGACAATGGGGAGGGAAACTGAGAGAGCCATCAACAGTGAAGCTTGTAAAGGAAGCTAACTTGACGTTTGTGTTTTTAGAAACATTTACTAAATTACATGTTTTTTTAACAGCTTTAAGAGCTGTCTATCACCTTCACAATTAGTCTCTTAATGCTAACACAACACTGCAACATATTAAACTGAACTAAAGACAACAGTAGCACCAGAGAAATAGTTTTCCTCTGAACTCGACCTGCCTGCCATACACTATGATGTACCTAAAAACAATACATTTTCAATCTTATGTAGGTTTTCTTCTAGGTGTGTGGAACTGCAAACCTCATATGTTTGCCATCTCTGGCCATCAGCATGCAACGATGCAAACCTATGAGCATATAATATGTAAAAATCCTATAAGAGATGTAAAGTTGTAAGAGCATCCCTTAAGATAATGAGTGTCATTTGTGAAGCCAACTCATTCTTGGGGAATAAGCTTTTAAGTCAAAGTATATTTTGAACCCACACTGTCTGGGGGCCTCATTTATAAATTAGGACATTTGACAAATGCTGTCGGGATGAGTTTACAGTGAGTATTCTTCATTGAAACAGAGGCCAAAGCCTTGAGTTAATGTAACAAATGACGCCTCCTCAGGACAAAAATAAATGTTAAACACCGCTCATCATCATGAGCAAAACTAATTATTTCGATCTCATTGCATTATGTCATGTTTTAGGTCATGGTTGAGTTGGTTTTTACAAGTTTGGCACATAGTTAATGGCTAAAATTGTCCTTTTTAATGTGAGAAAAAGCATATTTGTGATACTTAATTGTTTCAGACATTTGGCAGCAATGTATGAGCATAATTGATTCCATTGCGGTTCTCTTAAAGGTCCCATGTCATGCTTTTATTACCCGTCCCCTTGTGTGTTATGTAGCTTTTTCTGCATGTAAACGGTCTGCAAAGTCACAAACCCTCAAAGTACACCCTGTAGCGAGTAAAACTCTAACACAGAAAAGACCTGTCTATGCTGCTCCAGAAAGCCTCGTTAGACATTTTTCTTTTTCCATTTTTTACTTCCTGAGTATGGTGACGTAACCATGCCAGGGTCCAAATGGACCAATCCGCGGAGCAGAGTTTCCATTATAATTTTTTTTTTAACATGTCCTTTAAAGTAAATCTTCCGGACAAAATGAGAAAAGTGCCGGTCAAAGGTCTTCTGTGTTATTTATTGAGCTTTAAAACAAATTGATATGATTCGATATTAAACAAACTAATTATAGTAGATTAACTACATTATTCGAAAGTATACAGTAACTTAAAATAACACAGGAATAATAAACGGAGCGCTCTCTCCCTCTCCTGACAGCCCGTCAGTATCATGCAGCTCGTGGATCCAGTAATGAGTGACCCGACAGTAAAACTAAACATATCTATAACTAGTTTAGGTAGTTTGAGAGGTAGCCTAAGTAAAATAGCTAAGTGTGATATTCTAACCTGAAGTTTGTGTTGTGTTCCGCTCACCGCTGCAGTTGATCATGCAGAGCTGCGTGTTGACTCGTCAGCAGCAGCTGATCTCTCTCTCCCGTCAGATTAGACTTCACTCGCGTTTATGTCCATATCGATTAGATCTAGCTAATGATATACCTGCTTATTAAAAGACACCTAAACAATAAGCGTCGCTATGCAACCGGGTGAGGCCAAAAAGTATAGTGCAGCATTATGCATTTGTTTACATGCCCACCGGAACCCCGAGGCATTACCAACAGATCAACGCACAATCAACCCATACAAGACATCTCTTTCTCAGCCTGAACTCAGCCTGAGACAGCGATACACCGCGAAACTCAGCCTGAACTCAGAGCACACACACAAACTCACAGCCAGGCTACGAGTGTGTGTGTGTGCTCAGGCTGAGTTTTGCGGTGTCTCGCTGTCTCGCAGACCCCACGCAGCAACCAGGAAACGACCCCAGTAATCTAGCTCACACTGTCCACACTCCACAGCAGCGAGCCCCGCAATGTCCCGCCAACACGGAACCCAGACCCCACGCAGCATTCTCATCTGTTTCTCATTACTGGTGGCATTTTCTGGTGGCATTGGGATATATATTTTTAAATCCTCTGGAGCAGAGAGAGGAGCTGTGTATTATTGTTCTTGATTAATGCATCAGTGTTTCTTAGGGTCAAAAACACTAAACTCACAACTTAAAACGAAAGCATTTAGTTTATTTAATAAAAGAGCACATGTTCAATGGGAAAAGTGACAGTAGATATAGATTAGTTGCAATTTGGTGCTATATATAATATATAAAACAAAAACATATATATATTTTTAAACACCTTCAATTTCAGGGGGGGCGCGGGGCTCCGTTGGCGGGGCGCAGCACCCCTCCAAGACAATGGTAGGGGAAACACTGGGAGGTGTGATGAGGTCTTTGGATTAACTCTCCTGGCACTGGATATGATGAAAGGAGGTGGATGGGGAGGAGGCGGGCGGCAGCTTGAAAACCTGAAATCACAGCTGACTGCAGGAGAGAGGAGAACCATTTTAAATTTTGGCTGCAGCACAGTGATTGGCTGCTGGTGTATGTAATGGGTTATAGACAACGCCCGTAATGAGCTGATTATATGCAGCTGCAGAGTGAATGTATATATATACCCAGTAGAGATGTCCCGATCACCTTTTTTTGCTCCCGATCCGATTCCGATCATTTGATTTTGACAATTTGCCGATACCGATTTTTCCCGATCTTTATGCAATGCATTAAGAGAAAAAAAAGCATTCAAGTTGTCCCTTAAGGTTATTTTTTTATTTAAAT